CAGGGTGACGGCGCTCGCTGTCGGGGTACTCAGTGGGAGCTCTGCCGCTCCTGCTCTGCAGAGATTCCCATCCCTGCTGGGCTCTAGAAACCTTTGCTCCATCAGCATGCTGCCAGGGGCAAAATCCTGGCCCCTGCTTACACCACAAGCAAAACTCCCAGTGACTTCAGTCAAACAGGGCATTCATTCCAGGTTTTCAGATTTTATTCTGAAGCTGATACAGGAAAATCAGCAAACCTAGCTACTTTCTGTAGCTTGACAGGGTGGAGCCATTTAAAACTCACAAAGAGCCTGCAGAAAAATATGCCTTGCCTACCTTTCAGCAAAATTCAAAGTGCAATGAATGTGTATTTTAATTTTTAAATTCCACCAGCCCTTGACAGATGGATGCTTGGATTGCCAATACCATTATCAATCTTCATGCGCTAACATTCTCTGTGACACAGTCCATTTTCTCTGAGTATTTCCATAAACTTTCTAATCTTGCACTTCACAATGATAATTTTATTGATAGTAAGAAAGACCACAAAGGATTATGGATGCATTAGAAACTTAATGGGCAAGCATGCGCTTCCTGTGGCTCAATGGAAATTAGTGGAAGCTTATACATAAAAGTGTTTATTCCTAAGTGTGGAGTCCAAGAAAGAACTTACAGAATGTGTGTGTGAACACAGAAGCACAGAATGGTTTGGGTTGGAAGGGACCTTAAAGATCATCTAGTTCCAACCCCTTGCTGCGGGGGTTGCACACATATAACCCTATATGATACATAAACATATGGAAAAGAATTAACAGAGCTATGTATTAAATATGTTTTGTAATGTTTGCCATAAAAATTTTACATTAAACTTGATTGTAGTTTAAAAATGAAAAATAGTACAAATCCAGATATTTCAATACCTGCTGACATTACCTATGGCTAATACTGACCGAAATCTGCTTTCTAAAATTTGAGACAAAAATATTTAAGGGAAAGCATGGAGTGGCATAAAGACTTAAAGCAGTCTAATGTTTCTTACCTAGTAAATCAAATCTACACTTATTCCATTACAACAGATTTTTACATTTTTTTTATTAAGTTCTTTGCCTCAAGATCTAAATACTTTTTTTCCTAACAGGGCAATTCCTCAACAGGCCGCTAAGAACTGTTACATGAGACTGGACGTTATGCGCTTCACAGGTTTGCAAAAAAAGGTATCTTAGGCCTTTATTCAAAGGTTAAGAGAATATTCCTAGCTCCTCACTGAAGTGTTCAGCCACAAGCCTTTCAACTCAGACACGTATTTTAAGAGCTAGAAATGAAGCAGCGTCTGACCACACATTTCACGTGTTTAATCACAGACACCATTTGTTTCAGCAACAGCTTCACGGGGTGTGCTCTGCAAAGCAGATGATGAAAACCTGTTGTGTTTTGGGGCATCTTTTGCGCAGCACCCACAGTACAGCCACGCGCTCCGGGGCTGCGCCCACAGAATACTTTCAGCAAGCCTTTACAAAGTTCTCCGCATTGAGGTCCTCGCCAGCAGGACTAAGCGCAGCGGAAGCGCGATTGCCCTCGGTGAGACAGACACAGCTGAGCTTCCCGCAGTTATCTGTGAATTGTGTAACCTGAGGTTTTTATGAGCGTTTGCTCTTTGCACGTGCTCCCAAAGAGCACCCACCACGAGCCCGAGCATGGGTTCACCGTCAGCCCTGCGGCTGTGCAGGTTAAGGGATTACCAGTGGAGATTACCGCCCTGTCACGTCCACACCGTCACTCTCCAGCACAGCACGTCAGAATGACAGAGTTTTTGTATAACGCTTACTTAGTAACTCGGATCATTCCGACCCGGGGCAAGGTTAAGGGACAGCAGCAATGGGCAGCACATCCCAGAGGGCAACACCTTCTGCAGGGGTGCGAGTAGCTGCTGCTTACCTGCCCTGCTGCAGCTGGGCCAGCACGTCTCAGCAGTGCCGGGCAGCACAGGAGCACAGCAGGAAGGGAACTGTGAGCGCAGCACTGAGAAGTACCTTTACCTTTCCTCGGGCACTTGCACAGACGGAGCCCGAGGCAGCCTGCTGACGACCAGGATTGCACTCCTCTTCTTTTTCTTGGAAGGAACACCGCTTCCAAGACCATAGCAGCTGCTACTTGATCAGCTCTACCTCAATAAAAGCTGTATGCTTTTCTTCATTTTTTTTTCCCAGTACTCATGTGTCAGAAGCAAATCCATTTCCTATTTATATCCAGATTGCTTTCAGTAATGAAATCAGTACATGGTCCTTACAAAATTTAGAATAAATGCAACTGTAACAGTTAAAGTGAATAATCATGTTAAAAGAATGCAACTTCATTTTACTGTTACAAAACATCCAGAACACTTGTCTAGCAGTAAAGCAATCGTAAGGGAAGGCTTTTCAGACAGTTTGGTCTCCCATTGAAGATGCAAAGTCTATGTCAAACATTTGTTTTTCCCAAAATCTTTTGTATATTCAACAATAGATTAATAGATTATGCAAATAGGATGATATAAAAAACACAGTTTCGTGACTATTTCACTTTGTGACTATGCATTTGTCTTGGACCTTAGTGTTCTCTGATCTACTGCTGTTTCCAACCTTAAACTAGTATTTTATAATGACTTTTAAAACTTCTATTTGCTCAGAAATTCTCCTTATTCCTTTGAAGTCAACCTCAGCAATTCCCCACCTCCCTGTCTAGCTCCTTTGTACTTCTTCTTGCTCAGAAGAGATCCTCTGGAAAAATACTATGTCTCTTGAAAGGCTTCTTTATCAACGAGGAGGAAACTTGGTGAAGGTTAAGCCAGCTCGGATAATGTTCAGGAAATACTAACTACTACCTTGTAGATGGCACAAGAACGATGCTATTAGGAATTCAGTCAGTAGGGAGATAAACACTGTTATAACGAAACATTAAATAAAACATGAAAACCCACAGACAAATGCAGGAGAAAAAGATGCATTATGTTTGCAGTCAAATTACACTGATAAAACGCACAGCACATTCTTAAAAATAGCATGAAATTGAAAAATTAAAAATGTGGTCATTAGAGAAGCAAAATTAAAAATAAATTATTTGAGGTATCTGCATATAAACATAGTGTGAACAAGCTTTTTTCCACCTTGTAGCACTGAAGTATATACTGATAGTTTACGTAACGAGCTGTTGAAAACACAGAGGATCACAGAACTGGGTAGGCTTGCACGTTCTCCGTGCACAGCACCTTTGCCTAAGACAGAGTACAGGGCCAGAGGGAGCACTGGCATGACCTACTACGGCACTCCCTGTATTTGTAAAAAAGCGGCGCGGGGAACAGAGAAAAGTACATTTCAAGTTGTACACATAAAAAAGGCACCTTCCTTTTTGGTCAGGCCAGAACAGAAAGTATAAAAAGCATACTTGTCTATTTGGAGCTGGATCTTTGACAACTAAGCTGGAAACAAGAGGACATCTTCTTTCATAAAGGGTGGAGAAGAGGAAGACAGACTAGACACTGCGTGTTCTCTGAAGGCGTGCCTTGTGGTACCGCTCCCGACAGCTAACCTCTCTGTTTCTGCTCCACTGGTCTGCATGAGGATTAAGCATCGCCCCAAGGACACTGACAGTTCAGTTTAGAGAAATACAAAGTGTGGGTTTTCATGGGGCACATATCAGTAAATCTGTGGATCACAAAAAGTTGGTAGCTGCCCAGTCAAACTACCAGCTTCCAAATGACTAACATTAAAAAAACCCTCAAACAATCAGTAGGTCTTGATGCTGGGTTTTGACCCCAATATTATTAGCCACAAGAGAAAGAATGATCTCTTGTGCAAATCTTTTTCCTCTGATGAAAAACAAGAAAGTATAAAAAAATTATGAAATAAAAACAAATATATAGAGAAAATTATTAATGCTTAAGACAGGATGTCTTGGTTTAAAAAATACTTTTAATAAATTTATCTCTACCTATTTGAAACACTACTGTAAAAAGGCAGCATGAAAAGAGAGAAATGTTAAGTTATTGCTATATCATTCCATGTTGCTGGAGCTAATGTTCTACTTTGAAAAACTTTTAAAGCAGTTTTCAGTCAAATTACTAATTAATTTGTTCTGTATCATATTCGTACTGACAAAGACTCCACAACATAATAATATGCACCCCAAGGAAAGTCACCAATTAGTGTTTTCAGAGATCTGAAATATTTCATTACTACTTTCATCAAAAGAGTAGTTTATGTGCATTTGCTGCATTATTAATGTTATGCTACAACAACATTGTTAATGCAATTTCATTATTTCTACTTCAATGAAATCAGAGAAAAGATCTGTGTACTTTTTTCTTACGATTTTTACAAGCTGGGAAGTAACCAATCATCCACAAATGAAAACAAGAAATTTGTTCAAGTACTGTTCCTTCTACAAATCAGACTTCTCTTTTGGTCTTTGCAGATGGATGTCGTCATAAATTTGCTTCCTAAACTTCAACATGTCTCCTACATCTTTGTAGGTGAGCATTTCTTCAACAGACAAGAGCTTAAAGCCATTCAATTTAAAAGCCGACATGTGCTGCACAGAATTTAACATTTTTAATGACATTCTAACCGATTCACTTAAAGTAGAGCAAACAGGGAAAATCCTGGCAGTCCACAACCCCAAACGTGTGTTCTCACTGGAGAAGAGCTGGTCGGAAACCTTTACTCCCCAGAGGTCCAAGCATTCTAGTAAGCTGACTCCAAAGAACTGAAGTGAATGTATATCTGACAACAGTTTCACGCTCTTTTTCAAGTTGTCGTCTACACTAAACACCATACTTACGTATTTTACTTGATCGTTAATTTTTATACTTAATGAACTCAGGAAACAGTTTGAAGGTATGTCTACTTTCAAATTTATGTACGCTCCACTAACGATGCTGCTCTTCCCTACTGAGACTTCAGGTCCAATTCTAGAGTACTCAATAACAGATCCAGGTCCTACAAAACATCCAGGCTCGAGGATGCTTTGAATGACACTTGCCGATTGACCCAAGGTCTTGGCTTTGTCGGAAAAGCTGCTAAAAGCCACAGACAGTAAGTCAAGCTCAAATTTCAGGTTGCTATCAGATGTAAAATGAAACAAATACTCTTGAGTAGTTCCAATGTGATAGAACTTGGAGTTGTTTAAGACTATAACATGAAGCGTAGTTCCTTTCAGAAGAGAGTATAGCTTCTGCCGTACTTCTACTAACCGTGATTCCTCTTCTGTGACGTTACTCGTATTTTTTGTGTAATCTTCAGTGGCTCTGGGTCCCAGGGCCTGGAGGAAGTCACCATATGCATCTATTTCACAGCAAAGAGTTCCCATCTGCTTATAAAATGTCAGTAGTTGTTTTGCAATGCTATGATCCATGTAAAATATACTGTCTGTATACACACACTCCATTTCTGAGTCACTGGAGTCTCCGGAGGAACTTAGCTGAGAACAATTCCCTCTTACGCATACTGCGCCACACTGGCGCATCGTCTCAATATCAGGCTTGTGCAGGAAATGATGGCAAGATGTGTACTCGAGTCCTCCTTTTCCTGAAAAACTGGACGGATCTAAAACAAACACTCCGTGAGTGGTCCCAACTGTCAAATCTGAAGGATGAGCTAACGCAGTAAACCCAGGTTTATCAAATGCGACAGTTTCTGTACCTCCAGTGCTGTAGAGTTCTATGTCATCGGAACACGTAACGAGAATTCCTGGTTTCATGTGACTGGGGAAATCAATGTACATGGCGAGCTTCAGTTCCAACATCTGGTAAACGGGATCGCCAAAAGGTAAAGCTGTGAAAATCTTTCCCAGGGCACTTGCATTTGGTAAACGTTGACTGTAACCACCTTGAAGAAAAAGACATTTTTAATCATACAGAGACATTATATGGAAGCAAGCAAAAACTAACCTATACAGCTATTTTAAATATACACAAAGGTATTAAAAAACTCCAAAACACAACAAAAACCCAACTTGGTAATATACTAAGTATTCCTCAAAAAATGTAAAAAAATCATCAATTATTCTTCTTCAAACATTTCTCAAAGCAGGTATGACCTTATATCCAAAATTTAGCATGCCTTAAATAGCTTATATTAAAATTGTCATTTATTTCATTACCTTTAGTTTGCTTCAGAGGTGGAGCATGGACCACTTGTCTGTAACGAAAGTGAAGCAAGCAAATGATGCCTGCTTTTCGCTTGAAAAAAAGGAGGGCCCCCGCCAGGAATGTCAAATCGGAGAGAAGTCAAACAAGCAGTGGTTTGGTGAGCCGACTTGTTATTACCTGGTTTCTTTCTCTCCACAAAACTGATGCCCCTTTTGGAAGTATTCCGACTACATGGATAAGAAGGCAAGTATTCAGTCTGCCTGTGGCCATGACCCCGAGGGGGACATGTTCCTCCAATGGGGACTTCAGATACTCTGAATTATGCTTCTTTCTCCATTGTGTGATCAAACAACTTTAGTGCCGAGAAGAAATGCTTAAGTGGCAGTAAGTATCAATCTAAATTCAAATGATCAGATGAGATCCATTTGGGATTACTTTTCTGAGGGAAATGCGTTTCAGAACTCTCCTCTGCCATCATATTATTTTCAGAAAAATAAAAAAGGCATATAATTTTAGAGTGTGAAACGAAAACCAGAATTTACCAGAATGAATTAGCAGCACAATAAAAGAAGTCCATTTGTCACCATACAGATCTTCCAAGCACCGAAGAACGTGAAGTGTTGATCCACCATTTCCTAAAGAAAAAATACATTAGTGTCTGCTGAAACCAGTAACATGTGCACTGACATGTGAAGCACACGGGGCTCTAGTGCTGTGGAAGGGTGATCAGTAAGCATGTCTTAAATGCTGCCTTCTGCTGTAGAAAGGAAGTTGTCACTGATTTTTAAAAAGTCCTTATGACTGCAGAGATGATCTTTTAAACAAACCGAGTGTCGGAGGGTACATGGATACCCATCTGAAATTTCCCTAACCAGTTCTGACAGCACAGTCTTTCTACTGCGTCGTAGTTGATACAATCATGCAAAGATGATGGACAGTAACTCTGGAAGCCTTGTGCACTCAGAGGGAAGGGCACCTTGAGCAGACAGCTCTTGGGAAAATACCGCGTTGCCTTCCCAGCCATTCTCCGAACGGCCCCAGCACCTGCAGCATGTCCTCCCTCAGCAGCCCATAACTGACCCTAAAAACTAGCTCCAGTAGGAAACAAGTCACACAAAAGTCCACTAACGACTTGGGACAGGCGCTGGAAAGTACTTCTGACCTCTACAACATGGAAATGAGGAAAAACGTTTGGGTATGAGGAAATGGTTTGGGATATTCTGATGTGCTCCTGCAATACAACGGCTAGGTTTCTGAAAGTGAATCTCTGCCCATTATTCTACTCTGCAGACTGAAATTACTTTCTTCATCAAAGTGAAGAGGAATTAAGAATTACAGAAGATATTACGGACAGTCAGACCACTTGTAGGATTTTGCTGCGGGCCGGGTTCGCTGTGGCCAGCGGGGCGGGAGGAGAGGCCCGGCCGGGCCCCCCCTGCTCTGAGC